CCCCCAAAGCCCCAGTAGATAGTTGTATGTCATAGCTGCACATCCTTCTAGTTGCTGTATGTGGGACGCGGCCTCAGCATGGCTGGAGAGGGGGTGCGTCGGTGCACGCCCGGATCTGAACCCAGGGCCGCCAGCAGCGGAGCGCACGCACTTAACCACTAAGCCATGGGGCCGGCCCCCCATTAGCCTTTTAGCTGAAAGCTAGCAAAGAACATTGTGTCTATCTATCCTTCTGCTGTCAGCAATTTCAGGTCTTAGTATTGCTACTTCACTTTGAGGGTAATTATAAATCTTGCCAACTTAGTGTTCCAGTTTACCTTTTAAAAACTGCCTTAACTTTAACCAAATGCACTATAACCTTTAGTCCATATATATACCACTTGTGTGGAAGATGACTGGATCATAGTTGACTCGTTACAATTGTGCATTTTTTGACACTTCACTTTTTCTGCATGATGAATAGACACATTATAATTCTATTTCTATTGTATCCCTGATTTCAAATATAAGGAAAATGTTTTGTCTATTGTAAAAGTTTCATTGATGGGAGTCATATAATTGAACTTCAACTTGTAGAGATTTTTAAAAAAGCAAAAAATAAACAAAATTAAATAAAAATTCTAGAATTTATCAGACAATAATTTTTTAGCTTATTTTTTTCCAGGTTACATCATATGAAGAAATTATCAAATGTGCTGACCAAAGGCTCGAAATATCCCACTCCCAGATTACACAGTAAGTTGAAAAACCTTAAGTTAACTTTTAATTTTGTAAACATTTGCTGATATTTTATTTCACTCTCTAGCTTACAAAGTTCATGTTCTTAGACTTCAAGAAAAAGGAAAAATGTGCATTTTTATAAATTAAGACCATTCTTTAATAATATAAGTAGTCTATTTAATGTCTGGACTGCTTGATAACCAGATTTGCATCTTCCTTTCTCAGAGCTCCCTTTCATTTCAAGGGGTGGTGAAGGAATTAGTGAGAAACATCCAACATTCTTAGGGGATACTAACGTGGCATCCAAGTAAAAGAACTTTGCAGTGCTTAGAATTTATTCACAAAAAGTTTTGTGAATGCACAAAACTTTTGAATGCACACCAAAGGAAACATATCCGTATATTTTAAGGATCAAGTAACCTTTTGCATTAGAATGAGATTCAGCTTGAAACAGTCCAAAATCAGTGTTTTTAAATTCAGCAAAACTTTTCCACTGATTTATTATCCTCACTTCTTATGTGCTTCTTCCTCCTTCCTTCCCTAATTTCATTTTACTGTGCTGGCTATCACTAGAGCCTAGGCAAAAGGTCTAATCTTACGTAGAAAGCACCCCTTAACATATGAACTTTCTATAGCACTAACTCATCACAAGATAATGAAAGACAGTGTGGGTATTTGTACCTTGGAAAGTTTGCTTTTGTTTTTCACTGTTGTTTCTAAGCAGAATGAATGGTAAAACAATTTTCCCATTTTTCAGACTGATGCACACAAGTTTTAATTCGGAGGGGGATGAGGATGTTGTTACGCACTCAGGAGAAGTAAATTAGACTCCTCCCTAGCTTATAAGCAAGAAAACTCAACCAATGCCCAGTCATCATGGGCTCATGAAATATCAAAATAAAGAATAACCTAATATTTTAAAAACAATATCAAACCATTACTCTAGCCATATTGCTTTGCCCCAGTTTTTTTTTGTGTGTGTGTGAGGAAGATTGGCCCTGAGCTAACATCTGTTGCCAACCTTCCTCTATTTTGTATGTGGGATGCTGCCACAGCATGGCTCGATGAGTGGTGTATATGTCCGCGCCCGGGATCCGAATCCATGAACCCTAGGCTGCTGAAGCGGAGTGTACGAACTTAACCACTATGCCACCAGGCTGGCCCTGCCCCAGTTATTTTTAAAACTTATATTTCAGTTGAGTGGTTGATCCGGTTTGTGTTCAGAAAGATACCTGGCATCTGAGTTCTATAAACTTTATTAAAAAGATTGTCAATTGTGGCTGCTCATTAGAATTCCCTTGAATGTTTTTAAAAATATATCCAATGCCCAGGCCCTACTCCCAGATCAAATAAGCTAAAATACCAGATGGGATCTGGGCATCGGTATATTTCAAAAGCTGTCCAAGTGATGCTAATGTCGCGACAGGTTGAGAACTACTGCCAGATATCATGTGAGTTGATTTGCTTTAAGTGATGGGGATTGTCATTGATTTTTTTAAGTCAAATATAGTCTGTTATATCCATGAAGAACAGTATTTTTGTTTAATTATAGTGAATTAGCTTTGATCTCATAAAAGGTAAGTGCTGCTTTAAAATTATCAAATACACGTCATCAGAGCAATGTTGCTTTAAATTGGTGCTAGCCTATTCTGTTTCATTTTAGCAGTGTTTGAAGTATCTTTCTTCAAATACATTCACAGGCTATACTGTAAGTTTCAGTTCACATGCCTTGGATTTTAGAAACAGCTGCTTATTTACAAAAGCCATTCATATTTGATTTTTCTAGAAGACTAAAAGAGGGAGATTGGTGAAGTCCATTTTGTACATGCAGCCAGCGTGGTCTTTCTGAAATGTAAATCTGATCCTGCCCCTTAAAACATGTTAGTGATATTCCATCACTTTTAGGTAAAAGAAAAAATCCTTAGCATGGCCTACAAGTTTCTTCATGATACGACTTCTGCCTGCCTCCCCAATCTCCTCTCACCATTCCCTGCCTTGCTTTCAGCCACACTGGAGATACTTGAGTTTCTCAAATGCCTCACATTCCCTTTTGCCTCAGGGCTTTCGCATATGTTGTTTCACCTGGAGTGCTCAGACTATTATCCTCCAAATCTCCACTCAAATGCCCTTTCCTTAGAGGTACAGTCACTGTCTTCCCAGTCTGAGTTAGGCAGCTTTTCACAGTGCTACAGGTGGTCATGTATCTCTTTCTCCCAAATACCAGTTTCAGGTGTGGAAGTCCCTGCTGCATACATTCCTGGTTCTGGAACACTTTCCTATGAAATTTCAGACTTGTTCTCTCTACCTCACTTCCTGTTACGTCTATGACACCATCTTGGTGAGAGGTGGATCCTCTCACAAAAATGTTCCAGTTTGACATACAGATGGCCAACAGGGACGTGAAAAGGTGTTTAACGTCACTAATCATTAGGGAAATGCAAATTAAAATCACAATGAAATACCACCTCACACCTGTTAGAATGACTATTATCAAAAAGATAAGAAATAACAAGTGTTGGCGAGGATGTGGAGAAAAAGGACGCTGGTGCACTGTTGGTAGAATGTGAATTGGTACAGCCACTATGGAAAACTGTATGGAGGTTCCTCAAAAAATTAAAAATAGAAATACCATACGATCCAGCAATTCCACTTCTGGGTATTTATCCAAAGAAAATGAAAACATTAACTCAAAAAGATATATGCACCCTCATGTTCATTGCAGCATCATTTGCAATAGCCAAGATATGGAAACAACCTAAGTGTCCATCGATGGATGAATGGATAAAGAAGATGTGGTGTATATATATATATACATATACACAATGGAATATTATTCAGCCATACAAAGAAGGAAATCCTGCCATTTGCGACAACATGGATGGACCTTGAGGGCATTAGCTAAGTGAAATAAGTCAGACAGAGGAAGACAAATACCATATGATCTCACTTATATGTAGAATCTTGGAAAAAAAAAAAAAAAGCTCAGAGATACAGAGAACAGATTGGTGGTTACCAGAGATGGGGGGTTGAGGGGTGGGTGAAATGGGTGAAGGGGGTCAGAAGGTACAAACTTCCAGTTATAAAACAAATAAGCCCTGGGGATGTAATGTACAGCACGGTGACTATAGTTAATAATACTGTATTGCATATTTGAAAGTTACTAAAAGAGTAAATCTTAAAAGTTCTCATGACAAGGAAAAAAATTTTGTAACTATATATGGTAACAGAAGTTAACCAGACTTATTGTGGTGATCATTTTGCAATATATACAAATATCGCATCATTATGTTGTATACCTGAAACCAATAGAGTGTTATATGTCAATTATACTTCAATAAAAAATTATTTTAAAAACTACAAATCAGATTGCACTGTTTTAAAGTGCTTTAAACCCTTGACTAGCCTCCACTCACACTTAGGATAAATCTAAACTCTTCACTACAGCTTATAAAACTCTACGTACCCTTCCCTGGCACTGTTTCTCCCACCTCGTCTTGGTCTGCTCTTCCCCGTGCTATCTCCCGTCCGTTCTGAGAACTTGCCGAGACTGACTTGTCTCAGGGCATTCACACTTGCTTTTTATTCCACCTGGAATGTTTCCCCCTGACCTGACTGTTTGTCCTTATCAGCCTTTAGGCCTCTGTTCCAATGTCACCTCCTCAGAGAGGCCTTCCTGTCTCAAGTGACTCTTCTTCCAGTTCCTCTGCATCACATGAAAAAATGAATAAATAAATAAACACTCAATGAACAGGATAAAGAGAAGATTGGTCACAGAATAAGAAAGAATTAGTGAATTAGAAGAGAAAAAAAATCCAAACAATATATCACACAGACACATATGAAATAAGGTCAAGAGAAATAGTGGTTAGAGTAAAAAGATCCAAAATATCTGGAATTTTAGAAAGAGAGAATAGGATGATGGGAAATAAACTACTGAGGATTTTTCAGAATTTATAAAACTCAATACTCAGATTTAGGAAGCCCAACAAATCTGAACAAGATAAATGTAAAGAAACTAAGACCTAGAAATGTTGTTGTGAAATTAAAGAACTCTAGATACAAACAGAAGATGTTAAAAGCAGGCTTAGAGAAATGGCATTAGCACGAATGAAAGCCAGTTTGACTGACAGTTCTGCTCTCAATAGCAACAATAAAAGCCAGAAGAGAGTGGATGCTATCTGCAAAGAGTTGATAAGAATCAGTGCCAACCTAGAATGTTTTGTCCACTTGAACTCTTGAATAAACAGAGATAAGATACAGAAATTTCAGACAAAAACAAAGCTCATTCACTAACAATAAAACTTTACTGTTAGAAACTTCAATATGAGAAATGAAAAAGGGGAAATGACAACAAGTGCAGCAGAGATTAAGGAGATAATATAATAAAAACCTTATGCAAAGATTTTGAAAAATTAGGTGAAATGAAAGTTTGTTAGAAAAAATATTTTTAAATTGACTCAGGAAGAGAAAGAAAATTTGAATTATCATATAATCATTAAACATATTGAATCACTTGTTTAAAAATTTTCCCCCAAAATATTAAGCCCAAATGATATTCCCAAACATTTAATAACAAATAAACTCTATCTTAAACAAATTCTTTCAGAAGATAGAAAAAGAATATGATCTTGACATTAAAACCAGGCAAAGACAGCTTGACAAGCATGGGAAAAGAAAATGATAAGCTAATTTCACCATAAATATAGATGCAAAAATTCTAAACAAAAAATATAAACAAACTGAACCCAGCAATGAAAAAAAACTCATCCTGAGCAAATTGAATTTATCACAGCAATGAAAGATTCAACATTAGAAAGTCTATTAATAAAGTCTACTACATTAACTGAGAGGGAAAATATGGTCATCTTAGTAGGTTCTGGAATTCCATAGCAAGACATATTAAATTTTTTTTTGTAGAGCTTGTGGTAAAAATACAAATAAGGGAATCTTATACTTTTTGATTACGGGTATGTCCTTCCACCCCCAACCCCCCCAAAAAACATAGCCAATATAATAGTC